TGAAAAACACAATAGAGAGCCTTACAAACAGAATGGGTGAAGCAGAAGAGAGAATATTGGACTTAGAAGACAGAGAACAGGAAAGGATACAGTCAGACCAAGGAAAAGAAGAGGAAATTAGAAATCTAAAACACATTGTAAGGAATCTTCAGGATACTATTAAAAAACCCAACATTCGGGTTCTAGGAGTTCCTGAAGGCATGGAGAGGGAGAAAGGATTAGAAGGCCTTTTTAGTGAGATATTAGCAGAAAATTTCTCAGGTTTGGAGAAGGACAGAGAAATCCAAGTACAGGAAGCTCACAGAACCCCTAATAAACACGACCAAAAGAGATCCTCACCACGACACGTTGTAATTAAACTCTCCACAGTGAAACATAAAGAAAAGATCCTAAAATGTGCAAGAGAGAAACGTCAGATTACTCTCAGAGGATCTCCAATCAGACTCACAGCTGACTTATCAGAAACCCTACAAGCTAGGAGGGAATGGCGAGATATAGCCCAGGTACTAAGAGAGAAAAACTGCCAGCCCAGAATATTATATCCTGCAAAGCTATCATTTGTGAATGAAGGTGAAATAAAGACTTTTCATAGCAAACAGAAATTGAAAGAATTTGTTGCCACTCGTCCAGCCCTGCAAAAGATGCTTAAAGATGTGTTGCACACAGAAACACAGAAACACGGTCATCAATATGAAAGAAGGTAAAGGAAGGAAACCTCACATCAAAAGATCACAGGGAATTCAAAGCATATATTAGAACTTATCTTTGGCAAATGGCAGGGCAAAGTTACCACTTATCAATAGTCACATTGAACGTGAATGGCCTGAACTGTCCAGTTAAAAGACACCGATTGGCTGATTGGGTTAAGGAACAAAACCCATCTATTTGCTGCTTACAAGAAACACATCTTTCCAACAAAGATCCATACAGACTGAAAGTGAAAGGCTGGAAAAAGATATACCATGCCTGTTGAAATCTTTACTTAATGTATGCTAAACTGATCTTCTGTATATAAAGAGAATCGAAAATGAATCCTCATGTGAATGGAAGGGGAGAGGGAGTGGGAAAGTGGAGGGTTGCGGGTGGGAGGGACGTTATGGGGGGGAAGCCATTGTAATCCATAAGCCGTACTTTGGAAAGTTATATTCATTAAATAAAAGTTAAAATATATATATATAATTAAAAAAGATATAAAAAAAGAAAAAAAAGATATACCATGCCAACAGAATTTAAAAAGAGCCAGCGTAGCCATCTTAATATTGGACAAACTAAATTTCTTAATATTCATAAAGTTCTATTTATTAAAATTTTCTTTTACAGCTAGTGTTCCTGGTATCCTGTTTAAGACATTTTTGCTACTCCAAGTTTATACAGAAATTCTCTTGTCAAAAATGTTTGCCTTTCACAATTATATCTTTGCTTCATCTCAAATTAATTTCTGTGTAGAATGTGAGATAAGGATAGAGGTTGATTTTTTCCTGATGAACTGAAATTGACTTCTTACCAAATGAAAAAACCATCCCTTCTCTAGTGAATTTCTTTTGCATTTTCATAAATTAGACTATATATATATGTAATTTTTGACTCAAAATTCTGTTAGATTACTATTTCTGCCTCAAATGTTTATAAAACCCAAGAATGAATCAATATTGCTCTAACAATTTTCTTTGGATAGATATTAGTTACATATTGATTTTCCATAATAGAAATGACTACTGAGAATTTCTTTGTCCTTGTATTTTCAAGTTATTTTTCAAATTGTTTTCTCAAGAAAATAACCCACTTCATCTAAGCTGTCTAATGTGGAGCCATAACATTATGCACAATACTTTCTTTGTATCACTTAAATGACTGTAACATATAAAGAATTTTCCTTTATTCATCCTGATAAGAATAATTAGAGTATTATTTTTGTGGGGAAAATATTCTTGCTAAGAGTTTATGAAGTTTAGGCCAGTGCCGCGGCTCAATAGGCTAATCCTCCACATTGCGGCACTGGCACACCAGGTTCTAGTCCCGGTCGGGGTACCGGATTCTGTCCCAGTTGCCCCTCTTCCAGGCCAGCTCTCTGCTGTGGCCAGGGAGTGCGGTGGAGGATGGCCCAAGTGCTTGGGCCCTGCACACGCATGGAAGACCAGGAGAAGCACCTGGCTCCTGGCTTTGGATCAGTGCAATACGCTGGCCGCAGCATCCCGGCCGCGGCGGCCACTGGAGGGTGAACCAACGGCAAAGGAAGGCCTTTCTCTCTGTATCTCTCTCTCTCTCACTTTCCACTCTGCCTGTCAAAAAAAAACAAAAAATAAAAAATAAAAAAGAGTTTATGAAGTTTAAAGATTTTCCAAAGATATAAATTCATATATGTTATTGTTTGCTACTTCATTGTTTTCTGAATTTATCTTAAGTGTTTTATTACTTCTAAGTGTGTGAATGTATGTGTTTGTGTGTGTCTTCCTGGAAAGGAAACTTGGTTCATTTCTTTGCAAGCTTTCATCTTTTCTGATAAAAGAATGTAAAATCAGTAAGTCCCCTGTAAACATTACCAAAGCTGTAATCCAAGTGTTTTCAGGAGCTGTATATTTTCATTCTAAATCAGTTCAAATTAATGTCTTGTTGCTATTTGGATCCTCTTTGACTAATAGGTTTTATATAAATGTGATTTGTTTACAAACATCTATAGGCAATCTGGTTGTTCATTTGTTTAGATTTCTATTCCTTTACCCTTGGCTCTGGTGTATTGAATAATAATTTAATAACCCAAAATATATTTTATTTAGTAAATACAAATATTTTAAAATATATTTCCCACAGTTACTTTGTAATGATCTATATATATCAAATCATTCTAGTGGACCAAGATGTTCTATAATACACTTCTCTATTTCATTATTTTTTTTAACTTTTATATTTTTTTGACTTTTATTTAATGAATATAATTTTCCAAAGTACAGAATGTTGATTACAATGGATCCCCCCATAACGTCCCTTCAACCCGCAACCCTCCCCTTATCCACTCCCTCTCCCCTTCCATTCATATCAAGATTCATTTTCGATTCTCTTTATATACAGAAGATCAGTTTAGCATACATTAAGTAAAGATTTCAACAGTTTGCTCCCACACAGAAACATAAAGTGAAAAATACTGTTTGAGTACTAGTTATAGCATTAGATCTCAATGTACAGCACACTAAGGACAAAGATCCTACATGAGGAGTAAGTGCACAGTCACTCCTGTTGTTGACTTAACAAATTGACACTCTTGTTTATGGCATCAGTAATCACCCTAGGCTCTTGTCATGAGTTGCCAAGGCTATGGAAGCCCCCTGAGTTCACTCACTCTGATAATTTTTAGACAATGCCGTGGTTTAAGTGGAAGTTCTCTCCTCCCTTCAGAGAAAGGTACCTCCTTCTTTGATGACCCATTCTTTCCACTGGGATCTCACTCATGGAGATCTTTCATTTAGGTCTTTTTTTTTCCAGAGTGTCTTGGCTTTCCATGCCTGAAATACTCTCATGGGCATTTCAGCCAGATCCGCATGCCTTAAGGTCTGATTATGAGGCCAGAGTGCTATTAGGACATTTGCCATTCTATGGGTCTGCTGTGTATCTCACTTCCCATGTTGCATCATTCTCTCCCTTTTTGATTCTATCAGCTAGTATTTGCAGACACTATTCTTGTTTATGTGATCCCTTTGGTTCTGAGTCCTATCATTATGATCAATTGTGAACAGAAATTGATCACTGGGACTAGTGAGATGGCATTGGTACATGCCACCTCGATGGGATTGAATTGGAATCCCCTGGTATGTTTCTAACTCTACCCTTTGAGGTAAGTCAGCTTGAGCATGTCCCGAATTGCACATCTCTTCCCTCTCTTATTCCCATTCTTATATTTAACAGCTATCACTTTTCAGTTAAGTTTCAGCACTTAAGAAGAATTGTGTATTGATTACAGTATTCAACCAAAAGTATTAAGTAAAACAAACAAAAAAATACTAAGACGGATAACATATTAAGCTGCTCAAAAACAGTCAGGGTGAGGGCTCATCAAGTCACCATTTCTCATAGTGTTCATTTCACTCTAACAGGTTTCCTTTTTGGTGCTCAGTTAGTTGTCACCTATCAAGGAGAACAAGTGGTATTTGTCCCTTTGGGACTGGCTTATTTCACTCAACATAATGTTTTCCAAATTCCTAACAGGGATCACATTTCAGTTAAAATTTAAACACCTCAGAATAATTGTGTGTTAATTACAAAGTGCAACCAATGGTACTAGAACAAAAAAAATACTAAAATGGATAAAGTATTACATTGTACATCAACCATCAGGACAAGAGCTGATCAAGTCACTGTTTCTCACTGTGTCCATTTCACTTCAACAAGTTTCCCCTTTGGTGCTCAGTTAGTAGTCGCCGATCAGGGAGAACATATGATATTTGTCCCTTTGGGACTGGCTTAATTCACTCAGCATGATGTTTTCCAAATTCCTCCATCTTGTTGCAAATGACCGGGTTCCATTGCAGCCTCACACACAAGGATTAATGTGAAGGTTTCCACACGGAGGAGCAGAGAAGAGAATCTCACAAGATGCTGCAAAGATAAATAAATGAACACTCCCTGATTTCCAACATTTAACCCTATTTTTGTTCAGATCTTTATAATGTCAAATGGAGTGATGAACTCAGATTGCATATTTTTCTATACGATAGTTTCAATACCTTCTGCTGGAGTTTGGGTACCTTAGGTACCTCTCTCCTGTGCCCTCGGCACAACCTGCAACAAACAGCTTATTTTGAAGTCATGTTTCAGCATAATTTTATACTTAAATCATTGTCTTAAGGAGAAATATGCTATGACGCAATACAAAATTTTTTCTGTTACATTGACTTCAGCTACTTGGACAATATTTTCTTCAAGTATAGGACTTGTCTTCAAAATTGTAAATTATATTCCTTAAGCTCTAAGCCTTATTAAATTGGTCTTTATTCCTTTATTCACTTCAGGCTGGGAACCACTGTACCTTTTTACGGCTTGATACTCAACCTACAGGAACTGGGGAGCAGTACCTTCATGTTCCAGATCCTCTTTGGAGCTGTCACATTCATATCCAGATGTATTATCCTTTTGATAACTAAATACATGGATCGTCGGATCAGTCAGTCGTTGTTTTCCTTCCTGGCAGGACTTTGCATTCTGGTCAACACCTTTTTGTTCAAAGGTGAGAGAGGCAGGAGTTTGGGGGAAGGAATTGGCTTCCCTCAGTCCTCAGGAATTATGTGGGTTTATATGTGGCCAAAATAAAACCACTGGCATTGAGAGATGCAGGCTTGCTTGAAGTTAACAAGACAGCTTGAAACTGCTCCTGATAAAAAATCATTGGCATGTCTTAGGCTCCAGCCAAGCCAGTGTCAGCAAGGGGTGGCTCAGATACACAGGTGTCTTCATGACATGCAGGATGAACCTGGACACCAGTATTGACTACACAGAGCTGCTTCTCTACCAGTTACAGCACAGACTGTTGGCTAATCATGCTGTAATATACAAGGAAGGGGTTGGTCTTGCTGTTGTATCCTCAAACACGCACACAGTGCTCTCATCGCTTCTGTCTGGGACTCTTCCAGTGTTAAGGCTTTCCTGCTTGGCATCTCACTCACTCTTTCATAGTCATTTTTTTTAAGTTGCCATTTGAGTCACCATAAATGCAAAAGAATTTTAGGAGAAATTCTTTGACTACAGTGAAATAAAAATCCCTGCCTTCAATCAGAGAACTGTATGGCAGGAAGAACAAGAGAGTCTCATCTGGTTTCATCAATTGAACTGTTTTGTGTTCTGCGGCCCAGACTGACAGGCTTCAATCCACCTCATGCAAGTTGGCTGAATAATAGAAGAGCCTTCTCCATTGTTTAAGGTCTGATTTGATTATTTTCATTGAATTTTGTAAGTTCCTTTTTGAAATTTTAGTGTTAATGTTTCCCAACATCACATTGCCTATTTAAAAAATAGGAGACCTGGCCGGCGTCGAAGCTCAATAGGCTAATCCTCCACCTGCAGCACTGGCACAACGGATTCTAGTCCCAGTCGGGGCACCGGATTCTGTCCCGGTTGCTCCTCTTCCAGTCCAGCTCTCTGCTGTGGCCCAGGAGTGCAGTGGAAGATGGCCCAAGTGCTTGGGCCCTGCACCCGCATGAGAGACCAGGAGAAGCACCTGGCTCCTGGCTTCGGATCAGCGCAGTGTGGCGGCCACAGTGTGCCAACTGCAGTGGCCATTGGGGGGTAAACCAACGGAAAAGGAAGACCTTTCTCTCTGTCTCTCTCTCGCACTGTCCACTCTGTCTGTCAAAAAAAAAATAGTTCTCTCATGAACTATTATTCTAGATCCACTGTCTCTTCAAAAAATCCACTCTAAATAAACACAATCTATTTGTTACTATTTGATAGAATACATGTCTATATCAAAAAAGGTTTCCCACACTGTTCATTCCAGTTATTACCTTTCCAGTTATACACAGTTTATATATCAAATATCCATTTTATAGATATAATAGATATAATAAGTGACCTGTAATAATGGTATATACATTTATTATCTGAACATACATCTATCTCTTACAGAAAGTGCACAGTAATTAAGAAATAAAATTACTTCATCGTGCAGGAAGACATAAAGCAACTAACTGAAATCGTTTCACTCATTGTTTAAGCTACGACATTCTGCAGTCCACAGTCATCCATGTATCAACCATTACATAACTTCTGGGATGTGCAGTCTGTATATGTTAGGTCATACCTGAAACCACCCCCCCACCAACCCTCCAGCAGAATCATTCCATGTCTATCGGGAGGTTGACAGATTTCTTTGTCCTATATTTTCTGACTCTCCTTGGTCCTCCTCTCTCCAGAAATGCAGACTCTACGCGTGATTTTAGCAACTTTGGGAATTGGTGCTGTTTCTGCTTCCACTACTACTTTTGCAGTCCAATATGCAGAACTCATCCCTACTATATGCAGGTATAAGAAGTACTAGAAGGCCATATGTCTGCTTTCCAAATGAGACTTTTCTAGAATAATAGATATTTACTGTAAAAATAAAAATGAAAGGTTTAGATGTCAGAGGATTAAAAATGGTGATACAAGTGAATGCAACAACTAATAACCAATAATTATTAAAACTAAGTTCATACCAGAAAATGTGCCATGTCCAACAATGCATCATTGCACTAACCTTGTAAACCACTCTACAGAATTGGTGCTACATTGACGTCTACCTCAATAATGATAAAATAGAGTTTTCAAGCAATCGCCAAAATCAAAAATCAAACAGGGAGAAAGAGAAACAAATATCACTAATAAGGGCTTGCTGGGTGTGTAATAATTGTTTCAGTTTCCCCCAAAAAAATCAAGATGATAAATAAGAATTTGCATGATATATCTCTACAAAATTTTCTCTGTATTGTTATTTACACACAAAGGTCAACAGTTGCAGGAATCAATAATGTGTTCTCAAGAACTGGAGCAGTACTAGCACCCCTCCTGATGACCTTAGTGGTGTATTTGCCCCACCTGCCCTGGATCATGTATGGAGTCTTCCCCATCCTTTCTGGCCTGATTGTGTTTGGCCTTCCGGAAACCAGGAATCAGCCTCTTCCTAACACCATTCAGGATGTGGAAAAGGAGTGAGTAAATCCTGTAGCTGTCACCAGAGTGGGGAGCAGCTGTGTCAATAGCACTGCCATGGGGAAAGGAATGACCCTTTACAGTTTTGTCCAAGTGAGCTCAGACCAGGGTTGTTTGTCTCCATGTCCTTGAATTCACTGGCAGCCTTGCCCCATCCACAGAGGTGTCAGATTCTTTGTGAGGTTGTGAGGTTCTCTAGGTCACAGAGACCATTCTAGACAAGTAGGGTTAGTGGTGAAATAGCCAAAAGTAGCCTCATTATGAATGGTTCATGCTCTCTACCCTTACAAGGATGACACACTCCTAAGGTTTTCTCATAAACTTACTAAAACTGAAATGCTTCACTCTCATCATGCTGCTTTTATCATCCATCAACCCAATGATGCTTGATAAAAATGGGAAAGAAACTCAGTTCTCCTAATGGATATAAACCTGTTCAGTGATTTAGTTAGAATTATGGGACTGGAGTATGGACAAGCTTCTTTGCAGAATGCCACTATGTCTACAGGAAGTTGGTCTGTTGGAATTTTGTGAGATATGTGCAGTTATTCTGTATTTCTTTGTTTCTTGACTTTGTTTTTGTTGGATTTCTTTTTCCAGCACAAAAGATTCGAGGAGAGTAAAGGATGATGATACTTTCCTGAAAACCACACAATTTTAAGACATTCCCAAGAATCGACCCAAAGAAGAGCTAAATAAGGAGGAAAAAATAAAGCTTGATCCTATATATCTATAAACCAGTGAAAATGTAATGTTCAAATGAATGCCTTTTACATTCATAGAACAAAATATATCAATTTTCCCAAAATAATTATTAGTTCTTAATTCCACAAAGCAGCTGTTTATATGGGGGACTAGTTGAAAGCTAGCTCCGAATTCATCTGCAAATTATTAACAGCCAAGGTGTCTTAGAAAAAGCAGCATTCTTTATGTGTTCTAACCATTGCACTCATGGGTATTACCAAAGGAAATGAAATCACTATGTCAAAGAGATATCTACACTTGCATGTTAATTACAACACTATTCCTAATTACCAAAATGTGGAAGCAATGTAAATGTCTAATAGATGAATAAATACAGAATAGTTTGTATAGATACTGAATATTATTCAGTTGTTCAAAATATATTATCCTATCATTTACAACAAAAAGGATGGATCAGGTGGACGTTATGAGAACTGAAAATTGACAAGCATGGAAAGACAAATGCTGCATATCTCACTCATACATAGAGTCTAAGATAAATCGATCTCACAGAAATAGAGCATAGATGATGGTTACCTGAGGCTAGTCGGTTGGATGAGGGATGCAGGTGGGGAAATGCTGGTCAAAGGATATAAAATTACAGTTATATAGAAAGAATAAGCTCAAGAGACCTGCTGTATAGCCCTGTGACAAAAGTAGACAACAATATGTTGTATTCTTTTAAAATGCTTAGAGTGGGTGGTATTATAACTACAAAAAATGATATTTTATGATGTAATTATATGTTAAGTAGCCAAATGTAACCATTCTGTTATGCAAATAGGCATCGAAAACTCGTGTTCTGTATAATAAGTACAATTACCTTTATCTACAAATTCAAAAATAAGTAAATGAATTTGAAAAAGGGAAAAGCACAATAAGGGTGACTAAAGTGATCATATATGATAAATCATATGATGAATTTTTGAAATTACAGACATCAGAATTTGAAATTTCAGAAGTGACCAGCAGTCATGGTAATTCCAGAGAAGATGCAAACATGTACAATCTATGAAATTTTGGCACCAAAAAATCACATCTAAGTTAAAAGATTATGTAATAAATAGTAGTAATTTCCATTTTGGAAATAAACAAATTCACAAACATGATGGCAATGGTTTACTTTTGGTGGTGATAGGTTTTTTTCCCTTGCATTCCTTCAGCTCCATATTTTAAGCAAATGTGAAATATTTGAATTATTATAAGTATTATCAAATATTAAAGCACAACTTGTATGGTAAAAGACTTCAAAATATATGTGTTTGCATGTACTTAATATACATATCATTATAAATAAAGCTACAGTTATGTACAAATCATAAACATTAAGGATAGTTTTCAAGAGTAACACAACATGGGTAATAAATATGTGAAAAATGTAAAAATTGAATTGTGTTAAAAGAAAAATACACTACAATGAAATACCAACTTTCATTTCCAAAAGCAGCAAATATTTTAAAGGAGCCAGTCATACTTGAGATGGGTGAGGTATACTGAAACTGACATTCAAGCAATACTGAGGGAGCTACTAAATAAACCATATTTTGAAGCTGCTAAAAAAATACTTTAACTTAACAAAAGTTTCAATACAATGTTTAAATATTGTAGTTATTGTGAATGGCACTGATCTTATAAGCTCTTTCTCAGCCATGGCATTGTTGGTGTATACAAAGGCTATTGATTTCTGTGTGTTGTTTTTATGTTCTGCAACTTTACTAAAGTCTTCAGTAGTCTGGTAGTTCTAACAGTCTCTTAGTGGAGTCTTTTGGTTGCTCTGTAGGATTGTGTCATCTGCAAACAAGGATAATTGGACTTCCTACTTCCCAAGTTTTATCCCTTTGATTTCTTTGTCTTGCCTAATGGCTATGCCTAAAACTTCCAGAAGTATATTGAATAGCAATAGTGCACATTCTTGTCTGGTTCCAGATCTTAGTGGAAATGCTTTCAAACTTGTAAGATCAATGCCATTCATAGTAGCTACAAAAAAAATTTCACCAAGAATGTGAAAGATCTCTACAATGAAAATTTCAAAACATTAAAGAAATTTAAGAAGATACAAAGAAATTTTAAAATCTTACACATCCATGGCTTATAATTAATATCATCAAAATGACCATTCTACCAAAAACAATTTATAGATTCAATGTTATCCCAATTAAAATATCAAGGACATTCTTCTCAGATCTAGAAAAAATGATACTAAAACTCATAGGGAAATAAAAGAGGCTATGAAGAGCTGAAGCTGTCTTAAGCCACAAAACAAAGCCTGAGAATTCACAATACCAGATTCTAAGACTTACTACAGGGCAGTTGTAATCAAACAGCTGGGTACTGGCACAAAAATAGACATGTGGACCAATGGAACAGAATGGAAACCTCAGAAATTAACCCACACATCCACAGCCAATTAATCTTTGACAAAGTTAAAACCAATTCCTGGAGAAAGGACAGTTTCTTCAACAAATGGTGCTGGGAAAAGTAGATCTTGTCATGCAGAAGTATGAAAGAAGACCCCTACCTTACAACTTATCCACAAATCAACTCAAAGTGGATCAAAATCTAAATCTATGACCTCATACCATGAAATTACTAGAGTAAAACATCAGGGAAACATTGGCAAAGGCAAAGACTTCTTGGAAAAGACACCTGAAATACGGGCAATAAAGACAAAAATAGACAAACGGGATTACACAAAACTAAGAAGCTTTTGCACTGCAAAGGAAACACTTAGGCAAGTGAAGAGACATCGATAGAATTTCGTACAATATTTGCTAACTATTCAATTGATAAAGGAAAAATACAAAAAATCTATAAAGAGCTCAATAAACTCAACAACAATAAAACAACTAATCCAGTTAAGAAATGTACAATGTAAAATTGTAAAATGTACAATGTAGAATTTTTAAAAAAGAAAAAAGCTTCAACATAGGGGCAGTCACTGTCACAAAGCCACTTGAGATACTACTACATCCCACATCAGACTGATGGTTCAAATCCCATCTACTCTACACTTAAAATTCAGCTCCCTTTAATGTGCCTGGGAGGCAGGGAATGATGGCCCAAGTACTCTGGTTCCTGTCACTTATCTGGGAGATCCAGATAGAACTCCTTGGCTTTAGATTAGTCTAGCCCCAGCACTTGCAGGAATTTGGGGAGTGAAGAAGTAGATGGAAAAATTCTCTTCTCTCTCTCTCTCTCTCTCTCTCTCTCTCTCTCTCTCTTTGTGTATGTGTGTTGCTCCCTCTCTCTCTCTCACTCTTTCTCTCTCTCTCTCTCGTTGTGTGTGTGTGTGGGTGTGTGTGTCTCTCTCTCTTTCTCTTCACTTTCATTCTTGCTCACTCTCTCTTTCTGCATTTCAAATAAAGAAATCATTTAAAAGGCAACTAAAATACTGTCCTACTACATTCAGCAAGCTTTAATGAACTTTCCAATCTACTATGCTAGTTCACATCTTCCACCAATAAAATTTCCTTTTCAATCTAAGTGCTCCCTTTTTCCCATTAACCTATTGCATTGAGAAGAAATCATTCAAAATATATAAATGGTGAGAGTAGAAATCTGTTATTTATTCAAGGACTTTGGGAGAAAGCCTTCAGTATTTCAGTATTAACCATGAGGTTTTTGGAAGGTTTTCTTTATTTTTCCTCTATCAGTTTATAAAATTCCCTTTTATTCCTATAATGCTTAAAGTTTTCATCAAGAACAGATGTTGCAATTTTCTAAAACTATTGGACTGATCACTTTTTCTTTTGAACCTCATAAAATGGAAAATTTAGTGTTTAATTTTTTTCTTTTTCTTGTTTTTTTTTACTTTTTTTAAGCTATATAAGTTTCATGTATTTCATATATGCAGATATAGAAGAAACATAGTGATACTTCCCACCAACCTCCCTCACACCCATGTTCCAGCCCTTCTCCTCCTCCCTTTCCCATTCCCACTCTTAATTTCTACCAAAATCTATTTTCAGTTTACTTAATGATCATAGAGTTAACCCTACACTAAGTAAAAGAGTTAAGCAAATAGTATGAGGGAAAAAAGTGGTTCCTCAACAGAAGATACAGGGCTATAAACAATCATTAAATCTCAAAATGTCCATTTCACTCCTATAGATTACCTTTTAGGCACTCTGTAAGTTATCTCAGATCAGGAAAAACATGTATCTGTCTTTTTTTTTGCAAAAGATGGAATTTCATTTTTTACTGCTGAATAGTGCTCCATAGTGTATATATATTCCATTATATACCATGATTTCTTTTTTTTCTTTCTTTTTTTTTTTTTTTTTTGACAGGCAGAGTGGACAGTGAGAGAGAGTAAGAGAAAAAGGTCTTCCTTTTTGCCGTTGGTTCACCCTCCAATGGCCGTCACTGCGCTGATCCGAAGCCCGGAGCCAGGTGCTTCTCCTGGTCTCCCATGTGGGTGCAGGGCCCAAGGACTTGGGCCATCCTCCACTGCACTCCCAGGCCACAGCAGAGAGCTGGCCTGAAAGAGTGGTGACCGAGAACCATGATTTCTTTATCCAGTCAACAATTTATGTACATCTGGCTTGATTCCATATCTTAGCTATTGTGAATTGTGGTGCAATGAACATGGAAGTACAAATAACTCCTTCGGATGCTAATTTCTTTCGGTTTGGATAAATTCCCAGGAGTGGGATGGCTGGATCACATGGTAGGTCCATGTTCAGATTTCTGGGATATCGCCATACTGTCTTCCACAGTTGCTGCACAAGTTTACATTCCCACCAACAGTAGACTAAGGTACCTTTTTCTCCACATATTCACCAGCATTTGTTGTTTGTTGATTTCTGTATGAGAGCTGTTCTTACTGGAGTTAAGTAAAACCTCATTGTAGTTTTTTGTTTATTTAGTAAATATAAATTTCCAAAGTACAGTTTATGGATTACAATGGCTTCCCTCCCATAATTTCCCTCCCACTCACACCCCTCCAATCTCCCGCTCCCTCTCCCATTCCATTCACATCAAGATTCATTTTCAATTCTCTTTATATACAGAAGATCAATTCAGTATATATTGAGTAAAGATTTCATCAGTTTGCACCCACACAGAAACACAAAGTGTAAAATACTGTTTCAGTACTAGTTATAGCATTCCTTCACGTTGGACAACACATTACGGATTGTGGTTTTGATATGCATTCCCTTGATGGAAATGATCCTGAGTGATCCTGAGCATTTTTTCAAGCGTCTGTTGGCCATTTCAATTTCCTGTCTTGAAAAATGCCTGTACAAGTCCTTTGTCTATCTCTTAATTGTTTCTTTTGTTGTTGTTAAATTTCTTGAGCTCTTTAGAGATCCTAGATCTCAACTCTTTATCAGTTGCATAGTTTGTAAATATTTTCTCCCATTCTGTTGGTTTACTCTTCCCTTTGCTGCGTGATTTGAGTATTTCTTTTGTAGTACAGAAGCTTCTCAGCTTGATGTAATCCCCTTTGTCTATTTTTGTTTTGATTGTCCGTGCTTCTGGGGTCTTTTCCAAGAATTCTTTGCCTATTTCAATGTCTGGCAGAGCTTCCACAATGTTCTCCTCTAGTAATTTGATGGTATCAAGCGGTAGATGTACATCCTTGGTCCATTTTGAGTTGATTTTGTATAAATTGTAAGTTTAACGTATTGGTCTTGTTTCATGCTTCTGCATGCAGAGATCCAATTTTCCAGCACAATTTGTAGAAGAAACTGTCTTTGTCCCAGGGATTGATCTTAGCTCCTTTGCCAAAGATTGGCTTGTTGTAGATTCTTGGAAATATTTCTGGGCTTTCCATTCTGTTCGATTGGTCTACATGTCTATTCTTATGCCAGTACCCAGTTAATGTGCTTATAACTGCCCTGCAGTATGTCTTCAAATCTGGAATGGTGATGCCCCTGGCTTTCTTTTTGTTGTATAGGATTGTGTTAGCTATTTGGGGTCTCACGTTTCCATACAAATTTCAGCATCATTTTCTCTAGATTTGAGAAGAATGCCATTGGTATCTGCATTGGGTTTCCATAGGACTTGTAAATTGAGTTCTGTAGTATGGACATTTTCATGATATTATTTTCTTTTTGTATTTATTTTGTTTAATGAGTACAACTTCAGCATTATAGAAGATGATGGAATAGGGAGGGATATCATTGGGAAAATGGCAGGGCAGAGTCACTACTTATAATAGTCACATTGAACATTAATAGCCTCAATTTTCCAGTTAAAAGACACAGACTGGCTGAATGGATTAAGGAACAAAACCCATCTATTTGCTGCTGACAAGAAATACATCTTTCCGGGCCGGCGCCGTGGCTCTCTAGGCTAATCCTCCACCTAGTGGGGCCTGCACACTGGGTTCTAGTCCCGGTCGGGGCGCCGGATTCTGTCCCAGTTGCCCCTCTTCCAGGCCAGCTCTCTGCTGTGGCCAGGGAGTGCAGTGGAGGATGGCCCAAGTGCTTGGGCCCTGCACCCCATGGGAGACCAGGATAAGTACCTGGCTCCTGCCATCGGATCAGTGTGGTGCGCTGGCTGTAGCACGCCAGCCCCAGCAGCCATTGGAGGGTGAACCAAGGGCAAAGGAAGACCTTTCTCTCTGTCTCTCTC